GGTAGTATGGCGCAGTGGGTATTCTCGTTCCCAAAGCGATCTCGATGCAGCTCGAGTTCCTGAAGGGGAACGTCTCTAGGTTACGTATGTAACCATGGTTCCCCGAGGGAACGAGACGCTGCGTCTCTTTGCCATACTCCCGGCATCCCTTCAGGCGCTACTTCATCGAAGCTGGTTCTCTGCCGGATGCGCTTTTATACTTTCTGGTGCTTACGTCACCCCGCTCGTGACGTCTCGCTACTCCATTGGGCTGATTTGACACGTGCTTCAGAACGCCGTCACGCAGCGTCTCGTTCCCTCGGGAACCATGGTTACATACGTAACCTAGAGACGTTTCTCTTTCTCTAACCACTCAAATTAGAACAAAGAAAGAGTTTATCACAATGTCCATATCTGTGTACTGTGAACCTTTTAAGTAAACTGAAGTTTTTTGTTTTTTTTTTACCTCGGTGTGAAATTATTTCCTTTGCATTTAATACACAAATCTTTGCATGTCATGCTACATATTGTACAACATCCCACCTCATACAAAACAAATTCATTATTTGCAAATTAGTTATTTACACAGACAATGACACATCAGTAGTCAAACCATATGATATTACTAAAGCAAGGAAATCTATCTATCTATCTATCTATCTATCTAAAAAAAGAACCATCCATAAACACATGCTGAACCTAAACAGTGCAAATGTAATACAACACAGACTAAGCAGCGAGGGCAATACGAAAATCAACCATCGCTCCTCTGCAATGTCTGCGATCCTGAACAGGGCTCGCCATTATTGCTTGATTTGCACTGGTCGGGGTGGTATATTCTCTTGCCAGGTAGACAGTAATAACTCAAAACCGGCTGCCACAGACACTCGGATGTTCCCCCGGTGAGACTGATTTGATGAGATGGCGATGCCTCCATTCATTTGACTGAGGGGCCTGAAAAGCCCTGAGCGGATCACAGAGGTTCGCATCTCATATCTTCAGTGGCTGAGCCATGAGAAGGAAATGCATTTACTCGCATTTACACACACACACACACACAAACAAACCGTGCCATAGCCAGCACATGCATCTACCCAGATCCATACATGCAAATATACGCAAATATCACATGTTCCCCAGCGTGCCGTACAGGTTGTTTTGCATTGTACATGGGCGAGTTGTGCATCAGTTAACCCCAGGAAATCCCTGTGCTAGTGCCTCAACGGCTCAATGCATCATCTTCCTGCAATCAACTAATAACAACCCAATAACATTTTGTAATTCATTTTGATTGAATTGGGCTGTTTTTCCGTTATAAAGCCTGTGGCGGATGTTCTGTGAGGTCGGTAAACAACATCACAATCACAGCAGATGAGTGCAGCTCATAGATCACTGCCTGAAATTAAAATACGTAATGAGGACATCCAACATATGTGCATGGATTTCACATTGAATACATCAACAGCTTGGTCCGCAACTTGCTTAGAATCCTCCTTGATCCTTTGGCAAGTTTTTCCAGGATCTTAAACCCAATTAAAGTGATTAAAATGTAATTTGTTTTGTGATGAGATTCTAGTGGCATGTTGTTAAGGTGAGAGGTGGTTTATCAGATGCAAGAGCATATGGAGCTCACCAGCAGTGGAAACAGGAAGTGATCAGCCAGAATTACCGGGAGATGACTCCGGAGTAGAGTAAGCTGGGGTACATCAGGGCTATCAAACACATTTTCTTTTCATTTAAACCACTTGACTATACCATAACATCTCCATGTATCCATGAGGGAAACATCTTGCCCTGCCTCAGACCATGATAGATAATCAAATAAATGTCTTAAGAGGATTAAAAATGCTTGGCCTGGCAAATCTGTAAACAGCCGGTTTCCTCATCCGACACGTAACTACAATGCATTTGTCAGGGAAAGTTTACAGCTTTCCAAATATTGGTCCAGCGAAGCGGGTGACAGAGCAGGAACGCGATGGCTGTGGGGTTCGGGGAGGAGGGAAGGAGCATAGAGGAGCAGAAACGAGGGAGGTGATGTACGACTGCTGAGTCTGAAAATGCGGCCATGGAATTTACAGTCTTGGTGAAGGGGGTGGGAGTGAAAAGATTGTAAAATATGTTTTCCAATTATAAAAGATTGTACAAACCGGGCGGAGGGTAAACGGTGAATGTTCATGTGCCCCAGCTGTGTGTGAGTGTGTGTATGTACCGCTTCTTAACCTCTGCGCCGGCTGATTTATACACCCACTAACACACTCCTGAACTCCAAGAGTGTAATTAAAGCAGGCCGCTTAAAACGAACATCCATTCTGCGTTAGCTGTTCTCTCTGTGGATTTACTGTGATGTGGGGTGAAGAGGGTCTTCTCTCAGTGGGGGCAGGCCAAGGAGGTCTATAATACCTGGAGAAGGCTATCTGTTAGCATTAATATTCATCTTTACAGTCCCAGGACCACCCGGAAGTGTGAGATTTAAAATCTGCTACACTTGCTCATGGTCCCACAGAACTTTTTGAGCCAATTGGTAACACTTTATTTTAGGGTCTCTTAACTAGTTGCTTATTAGCATGTATATTACTAGAATATTAGCCATTTATTAGTACTAATTAAGCACATATTAATGCCTTATTATACATGACCTTATTCTACATCCCTAATCCTATCCAATACCTAAACTTAACAACTACCTTACTAACTATTATTAAGCAGCAAATTAGGAATTTATTGAGGGAAAATTCATAGTTAATAGTGAATAAGTGTTCCCTATTCTAAAGTGTTCAGCCAATCGTTTGAGAATGCCATGTGACTAAGTGCATTTTCAGACCTGTAGATTGTTTGCTTTGTTCCGAAACAGGGACTTAAATTGTTACAGTCTTGCATTCTCTTCTTGCTTTGGTTTGCTTTTACAAGGCAACATTTCAAAGTGTACCAAAATGTTTATGCGAGCCTCATATAAGTACAAACCATCCTTTTGTTGGTAAGAGTGCACCTATTTATATTCTGGGATTCTGTTCATAGCGTCATTCTTGCAATGCACCTGTTTCAGAAAAGAGCAATTAAGAACAGATTGGTTCGTTTGTCTGTTGGGTCGAACTGTTTTCTCACCACAACTGAACCGCTCCAGAGTGTATTTCCAATTGGGTCGAGGCCAGCTCGCTCAGATGATCTCGGACCTTTTGTTTCTGTGCGGATCCAAACAAGATTGTTGTGTTCATACATGCCTAAACAAACTGAACTAAGGGTCAAAATGCACTAGGTTCTGAAACAAACTCTCCAAATGAGCCAGGTATGAACATGTCCCAATAACATCGCTGATTTGCAGATGGCACCACAACAATGCACACGGTCTTTAACCTTTTACTGGTGATCATCCTGAGTTATGACATGAGTAACAGCAGACAGGGAAAAGTCTAAGTCAATTTCAAATTTGTAAGGGTCTTCAATCAGGCACTGGTAAAACATTCACTATAATAGAATCGTGCAAAAATGTTATTTTGCCAGAATACAAAACAAGTTTTGAATGGTCAAACACAACAATCTTCTAGAGAATGTGAAGAAATCTTACAAATGAGAGGGTGACTGTGGTGATTGCATGCTCTCTGACAGCTGACATCGTGATGTTTAGAGTGTAGGGACAATTTTTCCTTACCTGAATGTGTTATATGGTGAGTTTATGAAAGGAATAGTTCACCCAAAATGAAAATTCTGTCACCATTTACTCTACCTCGTGCTATTCCAAACCTAGAATATGACTTTCTTTCTTCAGAGAAATACAAAATACATTTATTTATTTTTTTTGGTAAACAATATTCTACCTGCTCCTTTCCATATAATGAAAATAGTAAATGCGGGTGGGTGCTATCAAACTCCACAATGACAAAAAGCACCACACAATTATGTATCATGAAAGTATGCCAAGTGTTCAAAAATCATACAACAACATTGTTCAAGGAACAGAGGGAAATGTATGATGCTATTTATCGAAAATCTTGCCCTAACTGGGCTGACAGGAGCACCTATGTTTCCCTCAACCAGTGAAACATGAATCTAGCCTTGTTCTTTAAACTGAGGAGCAGACAGAATACTTCATTTCTCTTGATGTAAATGTTAGGTAATAGTATCATATAATAGCATAGTATATGCTCATTCTTTATAAGTAAAAACTCTCCTGATGGGAATGTCAGTCAGATAGGAATGCCCTTATGTCTAATGCCTAGCAGCTTTATTTCTAGACTCTGTTTTTAGTTTAGATCAGTGCTGACCGATCTGACACTTTGTTTCATTGTCATGGTGATGGAGAGAGAAAATGCATGAAAAGAGCTTTTAAGTTGTGCTGATTGCTGAAGTCAAGAGCATGGACCTCAGCTTCTTGAGTTAGAGACATACTGGTGTTTGATGCTCTTATGCACGACAGTCAGATGTTCAGAAATGTGAGGAGGTGTTATTTAAGTCTAAACTGTTCTCAAAAGACTTATTCTCTTGAACACCAAGTAAACATACAACATATAGTTCAGTGGTGTGCATTACAGTTACTTTTTAGCATTTTGTTTGTCTGTTTTATTTGAAAGTTTAAATCCATTTGCAGACTCAAAGTAAACTTGCTTCCTTGCGCAAGCATTAATACCTGAGGCATCAACCTTCAGAAAAGACGATTCTGTACACCTGTAGTTCTTAAAGTGTGGTGTTATTAAAAGGGGACTTAAATGGCAGAGCGGAAGAGCTTCAGTGAAAAAATGACTTAAATGTCAGTCCCTTCCTCACACAAAGCTATCATAATATAGTGCACAAGTCCTATATACAACTTTTATGATACTTTTATGTGCTTTTTGGAGCTTGACAGTTACCATCACCATCCTCTCATCACTTATTTATGTCCTTTTGTGTTCTACAAAACATAATGTTTCATGAAAAAAAATGAGATTTTGAATATCATGAGGTAATATATCACTTTCTTTCAGTGTAGTGGTCATGTTCATTTTATGTTCTTATTTCCTAGGAAGACAACAGGCAAAGGACTGACTCACCTGTCTGCGAAGATCACGGGTCTTCTTGGTCATCTTGTCAATAGCTGAATTCAGTGGGTCTCCTTTTTCTTTTCTTCCGGTCTGCAATATAAGGGGAGAAAGGTGGAGAAATTTGGCATTAGACATGTAATATTGTTCTGCAAGCTCACACCAGAAGAAGATGAAAGAGTAACAAACAAATCAAGATTAAGCAAGGTTAAGTTAAAAATGCTATTGTCGGACTTGAGTGGGGTTTGGTGAAGGTTTTTAAGAACCTCTTAAAACTTGAGGCCTTTAAGTGTCTCTAAATGTAGACACAGCAGGGATGGAATAAAGCAAGTGCCGCATAAAGCAACAATAGTGTGTAGACACAAGCAACGATAAAAAAAAAAAAAATGGAGCACTATGGAGCACAGTAGCAGGTTTTGCAGACAGACTGACATGAAGGAATCTTCTGTGGTACATTTTTCAACAACAAAAATGGCTGGCCACAGGCAGGCCCTAAAACATCAGGGATTAACCCCTTAACTGTCACTCACATTTTGTAAACATAGACGTGAAATCCAAACTTAAATTTTGATAATTCATGAATGAAAACATTTTGTAATATGATTTTAATGTATAATTTTCATGGTAATGTAATGTTTGATTTTAAAATGGTTTTCAAAGGATGAATTTTGAGATTTTAAGTTTTCAACTGATATATAATTTCTGATGATTTCTAAAGTGTGATAGAGAAAAAGGCAACGAAGAAGACTTTTTACCTTTCCAATGATATATAGTTTGTCATGATTAGATTAGGATTTAATTGTAATATAGTGAAGTAAACTTAGGCGTCCCACAGAGGGGACGGGTGACAGTTAAGAGGTTTTAAACCTTTATGGCAGTATAAAAGCCACATCGCAGGATGCCGAGAATTCCAACTGATGAAGCCGAAAGACACTGTAGCCTGAAGAAATTTGAAAATTGCACACAACTCTGAATGCAGCACAACTTGTATCTTCGTTCTTTTACCAATATTCTATATAATGGTTTGAAGCCTAACATAAAACCAGCTCCAGCTTGGAGTTATACAGATGTGAAGGTCTATGAAAGCTTTCTGTCATTCATCAAGCGCTCTGTGTGTGTCAGTCCTCTATTTGTTGTGAGTCTTATTTAGTGTTGTTTGTCCACATTATAAGCTCCATTATGTCGAAAGCATCCGCTAAGACAAAGCATTTGGGCGAGAGCAGGCAGCGTTTCAGGCTATGTGTTCCTCCCTGCCCACGCTACATTACGGTTGAGGATACACACAGTCTGTGCGTTGTCTGCTTGGGAGCGAAGCACACAGAGTCAGCTCTTGAGGGAGCTGACTGCCTGCATTGCGAGCGTCTCCTGCTGCGTACCCTTCGCTCCCGGAAGGCTCTCTTTGAGGAGGAAGCCTTCGGCAGCGTTCCTCACGGTGCCGGCCCTGCTTCCTCTGAGGCAGAGCAGCGGATGTGCTCGTGGGGTTCGCAGATGGATCTGATGGAGGGAATGGAGACGGGCTAGTCCCTTTCTTCTTCCTCACCCAGATCCAGTGCCCGCTCTCTGGGATCGGAAGCCCGCTCCGCTTCCGAGGAGGTTGACGTGGAGGGCATTGATGAGGACTCGCCCCCTCAATCGCCCCAGTACGAGGAGCTATTGGAGGTGGTTACTCGGGCCGTGGCAAAGTTAAACATCGAGTGGCCCGCCGAGAAACAGTCTGAGCCGCAGAATAGCAAACTAGACGAATGCTTTCTGCGGAGCAAGCCGCCTCCAGTCAGTATGCCAATGTGGTGGGGCTGAGTGATCACGGATACAGGGCGATGCCCCGGGTTGAGCAGACGGAAGCCCGCTCCGCTTCCGAGGAGGTTGACGTGGAGGGCCATTGATAGGACTCGCCCCCTCAATCGCCCCAGTACGAGGAGCTATTGGAGGTGGTTACTCGGGGCCGTGGCAAAGTTAAACATCGAGTGGCCCGCCGAGAAACAGTCTGAGCCGCAGAATAGCAAACTAGACGAATGCTTTCTGCGGAGCAAGCCGCCTCCAGTCAGTATGCCAATGTGGTGGGGCTGAGTGATCACGGATACAGGGCGATGCCCCGGGTTGAGCAGATGCTTGCAAGCTATCTGTCCCCCGTACATCGTACAGGGTACATCGTCCCTGAAGGTTTCGGCATTGCCCTCCAAGCCGCTACGTACTACATCTAGCTTGGTGGGCAAAGGGTACACGGCAGCGGGTCAGGCTGGTGCGTGTTTGCACACTATGGCAGTGTTACAAGCATACCAAGCCAAACTGCTGAAAGAGCTAGATGAGGGTGAGGAGATTAAGTCAGAGGATATCACCGCAGAACCACTGATTTGTCTCTCCACGCCACCAAAGAGACCGTCCGCGCCATCGTCAGGTCTATGGCAGCACTGGTGGTGGCAGAGAGACACCTGTGGTTGACCCTGTCTGACATGAAAGATAAGGACAGGAACTTCCTCATGGACGCCCCACTTGCACTTTCTGGCCTGTTCGGCGACGCCGTCAATTCTGTCGTCAACAGGTACCAGGAGGCTCGTAAACAAGTGGCGGCTTTCCAGCGGTTCCTCCCTCACCGCTCTCTAGCTCTGGGGGCTGCCGGGCGGGAGCAGCCCCCTCCCTGTACCAGCTCCTCATACCAGGAGGCACAAAAGCAGAGCATCGCCTCCCGTGCTCCCCCGCGTCGGGACCGGGAGTCTTCTAAGACGAAGCCGGATCTGCGGACTGTTCTTACATCTAAGAAGGCCTCGGCCAAGAGTTTGTGACGCTTGTGGCTCTGAGGACAGGCCCCTCTGGGGAAGAGTGGTGTACACCTCATCATACGGTGCCCATCTCTCCTCAGTGCCCTCAGGAGATTGGTCTTCCAACCTTGCCACCCACAGTGCTCCAGGGCACAGCGGTCCCCGGCGAGTGCTTCTCTCAGTCACCGCCCGGAAACGTAGCGGTACTAAGAGGTTCGCTACCTCTGCGGAGATCTCTAGAGCACCTAGTTTGGCCGTCCCTGCCGGTCTGCTGCTTCAGGGCACTGAGCGAGCCGCTCTGATTACACCAGAGGTCAGTCTCGAGAGACTGATTCCCTTAGTAGACTATTTGGCAGCGTGAACACTTCTGCCAAATGTGTCTCAATGGGTCCTGCTCACTGTAGGCTACCACATTCAGGAAGGATATGTCCTGCCTGTGGAGAAGGGCTAACCAACTGCTAGTTTGCTATGGTCCCCCCATAAGAGGTCTTCCTGCTACTAAACAAACCCTCAGCCGGTGGATTGTGGATGCCATTTGCATTGCCTATGAGTCCTCTGATCTCCCCTCGCCTTTGGGGGTCAAGGCTCACTCGACAGAAGTGTGGCGGCCTCCATGGCCTTTCTGGCAGGTGTGTCTATGCAGGACATCTGCAATGCTGCGAGTTGGTCCACGCCCCTAACGTTCGTCAGGTTCTATGACCTCGATATGCAAACCACTCCAGGCTCTTCTGTTCTCTCGCCCTAGCTGTGCTCTTCCACACTAGGCAGGGATTTGTAACTCTGGCGGCGTGGGCATACTCGTTCCCATAGCGTTTTGACACAGCTTGAGTTCCTGAATGGGGAACGTCTCCAGGTTACGCATGTAACCATGGTTCCCCGAGGGAACGATATGCTGCTTCTCAGTGCCATACTTCCGGCATACCTGCGAGCGCTTGCTTCATTTCCTAGAAGCTGATGCTGTATCCACTGCACATGCTTTTAAGCTTCCTGGTCGCTACATCACCCCGCCCGTGACATCTCGCCCATCCATTAGACTGATTACACACGTGATTTAGAGCGTGGTCACACTGAAGGCGTTCCCATAGCGTTTCGACGCAGCGTCTCGTTCCCTCAGGGAACCATGGTTACATGCATGACGTTAACCTGGTGACGTTTTCTATTATATTCCAAAGTATGAATCAGTTCCGTTTTTGTATCTCCAGACCTTTCATTCAATCATCTGGCAGTTTAACTTTAGAAGGAAAATGAACAAATTTGTCCAGGGTCACGCTTTCTGAATTATCAATTCACAGGTGCTGAACAACTATATGAACTCTCCTGATGACACACTTGATGTGTGGTACAATATGCTTATGACATGTGGTTAGCTTAGATTTAGAGATGGAGGCAAAGGTGAAAGACAATTACACACAGAAAAAAAGTATATTCACTGACTAATCTGATTGGCTGGCTTTATGAAACTTCCTGAAATAAAGGCACAACGATTCCTTTATTTATTCTTTTATCAATCTGCCTGAAAGTCACAGGGTCGATTCAATGAGAACTAGCTCAGAAAGAACCGATGACTGAATTTATCAGGTTAGTGGAATTAAATCGATGAGACAATTGTGTTTGAGGCACTTAATAACAAGTAAACAAGCAGAACTGCATATTTCACTTTGTTTTAAAGTCTGGGAAAGAAATTGTATGTGTGATTTTGGGTGGACAACAATCTTTATCACTCGGTCTATAGATATTTCACTGTTTTATGTACAAGAAAAATCCATTTCAGATAAACCTTGCCAATTGTGGCCACATAAAAGGTCACTTTATATGTTTGTCAGACTATCTCTTGCTGTTTAAATACATGTTTTAGCCAAAATAAGCTGCAGTGTGGACTAGACTTGATGCCGTGAGCGAAAAGTCTGGCTATGCGTTACTAGTTCAGGAGTGTCATGCACCATATAATCTGAATGCCCCTGTTTGCTTCCTGTCTGATTGTTCCAGTGGCTGTTGCCCTCAAAAATGGATTATCGTTACCATGTCAGAGTGAGCTGGTGAAATGTGCTCGGGTTGAAATGAGGACGGTTCCTCTTGTTAGCGAGTAATTAAAGATTTTGCAGCGATGGCGGCCGTCTCCCCTAGGTCCGATCTGCCAGACAGCTCACAGCTGGCTCCTGTATGTTAGTGTCAGAGGAAACTCTCATCGTAGATGACAACACACGTCCCAACTCTCTCTCTCTTTCCCTCTCAGCAGCGATACTGCAGGCTATGGCTCCGTACAAACACAAACAGTATCCTATTAAATATGGACAGCAGGACTGAAATGGCTAAATGCCTGCAAAAATTTGCCAGAAA